ACATTTAAAAAAAATTACAGATCATCCAGATATCCGCTTCAACCAACAACAAAAAAACGAAAATCCTTATAAAAATTTACTGTTGCAAAAATAAAATGTCAGATCATTGGTGAAATAATGTAATTTGATAGTGGTAATGATTAAAAATGACAGCTAAATGTAGGGCTGCATGATATTAGGGGGGAAATGACATTAATGAAAATTAAATGAAATTAATTTTTTTTGCGACATGTATTGCGATATTGTATATAATTTAGCCAGATGAAAATAATAGCTCTATTTAAGAATAATAAACTTAGATTTACATTGATTATGATGATTGAGTTGATAAAAACAGTAAAGCAAATATATAAATGAAAAAAAAGAACAACAGTTTTATAGTTTTCTGGGAGTCTAGCAGTATTCAGATATATACAAATTGAGTCATCAAATGTACAATAAGAGTAGTTTTCATTGTGTGTATTAGGGTTGTGCCGATAAACAATGCCATCATCCATCGCCGATGGCCAACAAACTTCACAATGCTGAGCCGGCATCGCGATCCATCGCCCTGCCCCACATTTATATTGATATATAACCTATTATTTGCATGTCATCTTAATAGCAATAACAGTCTTTTCGTGAGCTGTGTTAAATGTTACATATAGCTGCCACATGCACGGCTGACAGCATCGTGAGGATTAAATGAAGGATTGTACAGCACCTCTCACACTTAAAATGTGTGGATTCAGTGGCAAACGCTATTACCTGCAAACCCCGTCCCATAGACTTTACAGTGAATGGCTTTGGTCATGTTCATAGCGGACTTGAAACACTGGAAGTCTTTTATCCCCTCTTGGAAAAGTCGTTATTAGTAACTTTAGGTCAATCTGTCAGTGTTGTTTTCATTCTCTCATCTTCAGCGCTTCACATTTTCGCGGTTGTTGCTCCTGTCATCTGAAGGCAGAAGGCATTGACTGAGTGATTGACAGGTGATATTAACCAATCATTCGCATTCAGTTCTAGAGCAGTGAGCCAATAAGAAGAGCACAAAGGCGGGGCAAGCATTGCAGGCTTTTTTACTTCAGCAAGTTCACATAACAACTGTTTATCTGTTCCTGAGTGCTGCATTTGGCGTTTTTAGGTGCAAAGATGCATTCTGCATAATTGTCTCCTAAATCCGCGTATGCGGTGAGGATTTTGCAGTGAAAACAATGAAAATGTATGCACTACAGTGAAAAGCCATTATAATGACACAGATCACTGCCTATTCATGCCAGAGTCCCAGGGAAAAAAGTTATTGACAGGTGGTCATTTTTTTGTAACTTAATTTATTTATGGTTTGGTTATGGGTAAAACAAAGACCATGTGAGTCAGGTAGTGAAAACGGTAGGCTACAATTAATTAATTAGTTATGAGTTAATTGATATTAACTCCACCCCCGCCTACGACAGCGATGGCATTGTTCATCGCGATGTTTCACAGTAGACATCTTACAATGTCAAATTGGTCAACATCGCCCAACCCTAATGTGTATATATACTTTAAAACAATCAATATTTCTTAAAGTTAAAAAGATGATCATTTCTTGTGCATGAGTGCTTACACAGTCACATGCCTGAAACATAAACACGATCAACTGTGGTAACTTGATATTGCAGATGCGCACATTGCCATATCGATGTTGAAACGATATATTGTGCAGTCCTAGCTGAATGATATTGATAATTTGGGATCTACATTTTATCCCTTTAAATGTAAAGATTTGCATTGTATGAAATTAAATAAAAAATCTAAAATTTAAATAACATGACTGGTGTTGAACACTTTCAGCAAAAAGGTACAAAACTGACAAAGCTACAATGACCGTCCCTGTGGTGGTACTTTTAAGGGAATCTTTTTGTACCTTTAATTTAGAGTGTATTACTCATTTTGGGAATGAGATTGTACACTAAATACCTGTTTTGTACCCCACAAAGTTGTACATAGGCTGTCCCTTTTCCTTACTAATACTTTGCATTACATTTTTAGGTATTATTATGAATTACATTCCTTTTTACGATGATCTGTTTTATTATAGCAGTCTCTTTTGATAGTAGTCTGTCAGCTTGGCACAGTTTAGAAATATATTCCCATAAATCATTTCAGATCCGTCATCCCCCGTGTAAAGCCATTTTCATGTCCCTCGCTGATTTTCTATAGGGTTCATGTCTATCTGGGTCATTTCAAAACAGAAACCTTCTCCTGCTGAAACCATTCCTTTGATGATTTGGATATGTGTTTTAGGTCATTGCAGAAAGGTAAAAGTAGACAGCAGAACATTCATTTATTCATTTTTTTTTCGGCTTATTACCTTTAATAATCAGAGGTCGCCACAGCGGAATGAACCGAGGCTCAAACCAGTGACCTTCTTGCTGTGAGGCGATCTGCTACTCACCCAGTTTTTTCAAATATTTCCAAAGTGATATTTAACAGACTAAAGAAATTGTCATAATATTTCTTAAATATTTTCTTCTTCTAGGGAATGTCTTATTTCTTTTAGTTTAGCAAAAATAAAATCCACTTTTAATTTTTAAGGTCCACTTACAATTTTAAGGTCAATATTATTAGACTCCTTATTATATATATTTTTTCCAATTAGCCACAAAACAAACCATTGTTGTCCAACAACTTGCCTAGTTATTCAAACTTGCCTAGTTCACATAAAAGCCTTTAAAATGCACTTAAAGCTGAATACTAGTATCTTGCAAAATAACTAGTAATATCAAATCTCCTTAAAATAGCTTAAAATCTACTGTTACAGTATAGGATAAGCAGTGACCTTGGAATTTAGGAAATTGTAGGTTGTTTTCCAGTTTTGATTTCCATGGTAAGTAAATATATATATATATATATATATATATATATATATATATATATATATATATATATATATATATATATATATATATATATATATATATAATTATATCTCTTACAGTCTGTTCAGAAGATGCTTTATTCTGACTTGTTTAGAAAGCACAGCAGTGCTCCAGTTACTCTTGGATCTAACAAAGGTTAACAGACGTTCCTCGAAACAACCAACAGGCCAGAAAAAAGGATGAGTCACTTTCCTTGTGTACTTTTAGGGGTCGAGGGGCTGCAAATGGCCTCTGTCTCTGCTGCTGGAGTCTTGCCCAGACAATTGCTGCTGATGTTGTTTGTTTGTCGTCTTTTGCGTCTTCAGGTGCAAAAAAAAAATCTGCTGAATTGCCATTTTATAATAGAGACAGATAGTTCTTTTCACCTGCTCTGTCCTTTTGTTTACAGTCTCACCTGTAACTCTTACACCTTCTGTTTATTTGTATTTCACCGTGTGGGGGTTGTATTTTTTTAAATGTGCTATTTTGAAGTTTTTTTCTTGTTTAAAGGTAAAATTCCATTTAGAAATATGACACAAAACATAGCACCAGTTTGTATTTGTCTATATATATTTATTTATACAACAGTTCTGTCTGGTTCTTGAATCTGATTGGCTGATAGCTGTGCAATATTCTGTCAGTAACAGCACTCGTCCAGCCTTTTAACCCTTCACCCTTGTGTATTACTCCGCCCTCATACAGCAACAAAGCAGAAACACTCTACGGTTTGACAAATATTGCTGCTTTTGGGCAACATAATGTACTTTTGAGGCTTTTTAGTCAATATATATATATATATATATATATATATATATATATATATATATATATATATATATATATATATATACGCACACACACATACATTTTCTTTTTAGCTTAGGCCCTGTATTTATCTGGGATCGCCACAGCAGAATGAACCGCTAACTTATCCAGCACGTTTTACGCAGCAAATGCCTTTCCATCCACAACCCAACACTGGGAAACACCCATACACTCACACATATACACCATGGCCAATTTCACTTATTCAATTAACCTATAGCGCATGTCTTTAGGGGGAAACCGGAGCACCCGGAGGAAACCCACGCGAACACGGGGAGAACATGCAAACTCCACACAGAAATGCCAACTGACCCTAGCCGGGGCTCGAACCAGCAACCTTCTTGCTGTGAGGTGATTGTGCTACCCACTGTGCCACTGTGACGCCATTTTTGTTTGATTATTTTGAAAATGTGTATTTCAGTGCATCCATCTATTTAAGAGGTGGATAATGGCATGTGTTGAATTAATAAATGTAAATATTTGTGGTAAATATTCATCATTTTTTATTTAATCAAATAATGATAAATAACAATGTTACTTGTAGTTACTAGGGTGTTGCTAGGGAACTAATATGCAGTGTCAATATGCAGTTACTATATTTTAATTACATTGCCTATTTTACAGCCTATTTCAGGTAGATGTTTTATGAGGCATACAGTATACTGTACAGTGGGGGCTGGGCCATTCTACGGCTTGATTTTCTTTCTCTGAAAGCATTTGAGAGTTTCCTTGGCTGTGTTTGGATCATTGTCTCGCTGAAATGTCCGCCCTGGTTTCATCTTCATCCTCGTGGTAATGTAGATGCTGGACTGAAGCAGCTAATATTAATTTACAATGATAAAAGGAAGAGGGTTGCTGAAAAACTACTGAGAGATTTCAGCTGCTGTCTGGGCTTTCACTGCCTTTCTACACCTCGATTTCTTCGTGTGTTCAGTACTTTTTTCCCGCGTCATTTCATTTTATTAAACATAACCTAATTTGTAAACTAATTAGATTTGTTTTCTTTTCATATAAGCTCTTCTTTGGTTGTTTTCAACATCTGGTGAAAATTTCAGGTCAATGGCGCCTTTATAAATATGTTTTCTGAGAAAATATGCCTATTTATTAAGTTCATTATTTTCTGTCTAGTAATTCATATGCAGTATGGAACTGGTAACTGGAGAACACAGGATGCTGAGAGGGCTAAATATAGAACTGTTATCAAATGATGTTATCATCAGTCCATTACACGTGTGTGCTTGTGTTACAGAACATACAACATTTACATGCATTAACAACTCTGTTTTTCTCTTTCAGATTTCCACGCAGGCCTGAAAGTGAGATCTGGGTGAGGAAAACGAAACAACCTACATTTGAAAAGAGGAACGTCTCTGCTGTCTGTGACCTGCACATCCTGCAGCACCTGGACTGAAAAGCAGCATCTCAGTCTCTGTCCACTCCACCCTGTATGCTTTATTAATGATGTGGGAACAGACGCAATGCAGTGATGACCCTCTGTGATAGAAGGGCAATTATAGGGAAGTGAATGCAAATCTCAGCACAGTTAGAAGAGTACAGAAGCTCCTGGAAACTTCTAGAAGAGTGCTTCTCAAGCGTTTAGACTTGCCTTTGTCCGTCCATTATTTTCAAAGGCTGTTAATTTTCTGCTAGAATTTTAATGGGGAAGCAATAGTTATTGAGGCGTGAAGAAATATGATTATTTTTGTTTATTTTTAGGTTATTTGGATTATTCAGATTTATTAATAATAGTATTCATATATATTCCTGCCATTATTTCTTCTACAAGTATGTCAAATCTTGATGGCAACCGGGAGTAGTCATTAATGGCAAAATAGGATTTCTTGATTTTTATGAATACTAATATAGTTAGATAAATTTATTGATACTATTATTCCTGTAGATTTTTGTCATTATTTCTGATGTAATAATTTCTGTAATATAATAATATTGATTTAATGTATTAATAGTATAAATATCAATTGTATTAGTAATAATAACCCATTAATTTGAATAGGTACCCCATAGTCCTCCAAGTTTCTGGAATGTTTCTGATCTCAAACTTCTGATCTCGAATTTCTGATCTAGAATGTTTCTGATCTCAAATTTCTGATCTAGAATATTTCTAATTTAGAAAGTTTCTGATCTCGAATTTCTGATCTCGATTTTCTGATCTCAAATTTCTGATCTAGAATATTTCTAATCTAGAAAGTTTCTGATCTCAAATTTTTGATCTCGATTTTCTGATCTCAAATTTCTAATCTTGATTTTCTGGTCTCAAATTTCTGATCTAGAATATTTCTAATCTAGAATGTTTCTGATCTCAAATTTCTAATCTAGAATGTTTTTGATCTCGAATTTCTGATCTAGAATGTATATTTTTGTAAAAACAAAAAGAAAACGCATTCAATCCTGTATTATTAACTGCAAAACGTATTGATTACCATTTAAAATGAAAACACAGATTAATGTTTGTGTGTCCTGCATAAAGGCTTTTCAAAACTAAACGATCGCCGATGCCAAAAGATGGATGGTTTGTGCCCAGCAAAGCGATGCTTGCACAATAACTGCACGTGATTGGCCTGCGGGCTAAATGCGTGTGATTGACGGGTGATCCAGCCACTGACGAGATGCCATCGAAGGTGTCATGCCTATATCTGCTGACTGTGGTCTGCTGGGCCAGTGCGCTCTGGTATCTCAGCGGCTCACGGCCTTCGACAGCCTACGTTGGCCAAATGACCTTTATCCGAAAGCCAATCCTGAGGTTCTCGAAAAACGACAGTTTCAGCAATATCCGCACACGCACTCTGAATCCCCACAATTTCAAGTTCCTCATCAATGAGCCCAAGAAATGTGAAAGCACAACGCCCTTCCTCGTTCTCCTCATCAGCACCAACCACAAGGAGTTCGATGCGCGCCAAGCCATCCGGGAGACCTGGGGAGATGAAAACACCTTCAGCAACGTTCACATTTTGACGCTGTTTCTTCTGGGCTACAGCACTGAACCGGTGCTCAATCAAATGGTGGAACAAGAGAGCCAGATCTTCCATGACATCCTAGTGGAGGACTTTGTGGATTCCTATCACAATTTGACTCTGAAGACTCTCATGGGAATGCGATGGGTGTCTTTGTTTTGCCCCAACGCGCAGTACGTCATGAAAACCGACAGTGATATATTCGTCAACATGGACAATCTAGTGTTCAACCTGCTGAGACCCAACGCCAAACCAAGACGCCGCTTTTTCACAGGTCACGTGATAAACGGAGGACCCATACGCGACGTCCACAGCAAGTGGTTCATGCCCAGAGAGCTTTACCCTGATAGCAGGTATCCACCCTTCTGCTCGGGCACCGGATATGTGTATTCTGGAGACATGGCGGAGTTGCTCTACAAGACATCTCTTCATACAAGACTCCTTCATCTGGAGGATGTGTATGTGGGACTGTGCCTGCGCAAACTAGGCATTCAGCCCTTCCAGAATAATGGATTCAATCACTGGAAGATGACCTACAGCCTCTGCCGCTACCGCAAAGTGTTGACTGTACATCAGATCTCACCAGAGGAGATATTACGAATATGGAACGATATGTCCAATAAAAAGCATCTCAAATGCTAACATATATTTAAGGAATTAGCTGTTGAAACCTGAGCCAACGTGGGATCCTAAAGATTTGTTTGTATTGGTTTTAAAGGGTTAGTTCATCCAAAAAAATGAAAATGATCCCACATGTTGTTCCAAACACATAAGAAATGTGTTCATCTTTGAAATGCAGAGGACTCTTGCCTCTTCAGAATGTTCATTCATTCTTTCATTCATTTTCATCCACTCTTCCAGGGCTGGTTTGTGGGGGCAGCAGTCTTAGGAGAGAACCTCAGACTTCCCTCTCCCCCAGACACTTCCTCCAGCTCCTCTGGGGGGGAGCCCAAGGAATTCCCAGGCCAGCCAAGAGACATAGTCCCTTCAGGGTGTCCTGGGTCTTTCCTGGGGCCTCCTCCCAGTGAGACATGCCTGGAACACCTTCTTAGGCAGGCATCCAGGAGGCATCCGAAACAGATGCCCGGGCCACCTCTGCTGACTTCCCTCGACGTGGAGGAGAAGTGGCTCTACTCCGAGCTCTTCTGGGGTTATTTATAATGGAGCGCCCTGCCACCCTGCGAAGGAAACTCAATTCAGCCGCTTGTATCCGAGATCCTTTCCTTTCGGTCATGACCCAAAGCTCAAGACCTTAGGGGAGAGTAGGAACATAGATTGACCAGTAAATTGAGAGCTTTGACTTTTGGCTCAGCTCATGTTTTACCACAATGGGCTGTACATTGACCACATTACTGCTGCCGCTGCATCAATCCGCCTATCAATTTTGCGTCCAGTCCTTCCCCCACTCATGATTAAAACCCCAAAATACTTGAACTCTTCAGAATGTTCGCAAAGACAAATTGCAGCACTTTATTATAGTTGCTACATAAATGATGAATCTTTAAACATATCCTTGAAGCTAACAGAAACCTACAGTATGTAGTTACCACATATAACCAGTTCATACTTAGGTAATTACTCTGTAAGTACATGTTTAGTACACATGCTGTACAATACAAGAACAAACCTCATTTGATCAAGCTGAAATTCCATCACCAAATAGAAATGCTGTAGGCCCAATACTAATAATAGACGGCATCCTAAACTCTAATGGTCTTTCTCCGAGTGTCTATTTTCACGGCATTTAGACTGTACAGAAGAAATTTCCTCAGCGATTCCTTTACTTTGGTCTTGGCTGAAGTGCACATCAAGGGTGCATAGTGGGTGAAAAGTGGGCAGGTAATTGTGAGTACTGTGTCCGTGGATGTATCTGATGATGCAAAATGTGTCCAATGCAGATTGATGAATTATTACTGCAAGTGCACATTAAAGGTGATTTTGAAATGGATCCCTATGCCTACTCTCTTCAAATAGCAGACCTCTTGATGTGAGTTCTTTAAATGGCGTAGGACATGACCATCAAAAGTTCCTTTCATCAGCAGACTTCTAGTGGGCTTTCATTAAGAGAGGACTGTTTTCCTTCATTTTGAAAGTTCTACAAATGGTGCTTCATTCCCAATGTGCCCTTCAAGAGCATAAAAGAACCTGTTTGGAATTGGAATTCACCCTAAGTTTGGCTTAAAAGAGTGGTTTACCAAAAAAAATAAATAAATAAATAAATTTTTCATAATATACTCACTTTCAAATCATCCTTAGTGTGACATCCTCAGTGTGACAATGACTTTCTTTTGTCAGATGTTCCTGCTATTCTATGTATGATGGTGTTGAGTAGTGGCTGTTTTTTGTTTTTTTACTTCTGAAAGCACATTAATCCATCATAAAACTGACAGAACGTGGCGTATGACTTGAGACCTATTCAAAGCAGAAATTCTGGGAATAGACTCGTATATGGCTGTGCAAAAAGCTCAAGCTTTTGTCTTATGCTGGTTTCACACCAAAAGCGAAATTAAGTAATGGGAAACTTCTCCAAATTGTGTTCCACCCTGTTTTATGACACACTCGTGAGGGCAAAATGAAAAACAAATGCAAATCACAACAGAAAAAGCTGAATATTTTTTTGAATATTTTATATACATATATATATATATATATATATATATATATATATATATATATATATATATATATATATATATATAACAATATTAACATATAAGCCTATTAGAGAATATGTCAGATGTCAGAAGTTCTGCAATGACATGTTCTCATTCTGTTTGTGCAAGTAGTTTACCAGCAGGCACAGGATGTCAAAATGACGTCAGATTGACGTTATACCCCTACACATTGCAAAGTTGCATTTTGTTTGAAAATAAAATCTAGAAATAAAATATCTAACCTAAAATCAGCCAAATATAAACTTCTAATGATGTTACAGCTTGATGTTGTGTGGACGTTACTACTATGACGTTTATCAGACATTGAATTTTGGTTGCACAACACAATCCCACAAAAATTCATAACTTTTTGATTTAGTGGCTAATTTGTATGAAATCGTACAATCTCATTTGTGCAGGGTTGGGTGCCACGCCTTCCTTTTAAAATCGTACATTTTCGTACGACTGAACTTGCACAAATTTGTCTGAATTAGCTTTTAAACTGACACAACATAAAATAGTTATGTTTCCTTATTAGATCAGGCTGGGTTGCAAGACCTGACGAATAAATTTCAGTATTTGACGCCAATATGACGTTAGTTTAAAATGTTGGCTCGACATTGGATTTTGGTCACTTTCCAACACAACCTAAAATTGACCAAATATCTATTTCATTTGATGTCGTTATTGGACGTCAAAATAACATTGTTCCTAGGCGCTGACATCACAACCTAAATCACACCTAATATTAACGTCTTATGATATTGTGTGCCTGCTGGGGTCAATGCAAACACTTTTATAGGTTTTTTCCACCAGGGGTTGCAAATGATGGAATGTCTGACACGTTTGGCTGAAATAATTTCCAATAGTTCAAATCGATTGGAAAATATACTTTAGGTGGAAAACTAGAGGCCGGTGCCCCATGTTTGCTGTAAACCCAGCATTATTGTGAAATCCTCTGCTATTTAACGTCTCGTTTTCCACTTTTAATTAGTTACCAGCATTCAATCATCCTCGTTCATCTACTCTGACCAAAAATTCCACTACAAATGCGCCTTCTGAAGTTGCTGAGAAGTGTCATTCGGTAGTATTCAGAAGTCAGTAAGATTACTTTATTACTATTATTATTATTTTATTTTATTTTTTTAAACAAAAAATACATCAATCTGCTCCATAAGACATGCATTGAATTGGTATAGTCGGTTGCATTTATGATTGATTTAGTGCCTTTGTAAGCTTCAAAAATGGCCTCAACCCAACACCAGTATACAGCATGGAAGAGCCAGGATGAAAATTAAAACTACTCTGGCTGTGTTCATCTGAAAGAGGAAAGTCTAAACTGTTTCTTCAGGTGAGCAATAAAGTTTAATTAGTCTCCTCAGAAGACTTGGATTGAACCACACGATTCATATCAATTTTTTTTTTTTCCCGAAGGTGGTACAGATATCTAGCAGATTTCATGAATAGTATCTTTGTGTTCTGAAGATGGACAAAATGCTTAATGGTTTGGAACAATATGAAGGCGGGTAAACGATGACAGAACTCTCATTTTTTGGTTGATTAAACCAATTCTAGAGTGTTTGTAACCCTCCAAATCAGAGAAAAACAGTCTGTATCCTCATGAAGCTGATGTTACTATGCAGAGCAATATGTAAATCTGGACTTACAAGTTATTTGCAATGTTAATGGTTTTAAAATGGTGTATTTGGGCCTTACATATTTACAAATATTATTCATAAACCAGGCCGCTGTGAACTGCTTTAGATTAATAGCATCAACATACAAAGGTACATAATATTATATGAGAAAGAGCAGTATTTACTATCCCAAACGTCTGCCATAAACTGCATTTATTCTCTATATCCCTCTTGAAATGAATGGTAAATAGATTAACTCACGAGAATGCATATTTATATGTAGCCAAAGCCTTTGGATAGCAGTAGAGCTCAGTTTCAAAACATTAGATAGGAACATTATTTTACTTTTGTTTGTGTTACAATAGAAACATGCAAAACAGATAGCATAAACACACATACACTTTCATTTTGCATGCATTGCACATATTTCCTTTTTCTTAAAGTTGACATTTATTTTAATATTTACTAAAAATGTTTATTTTTATTGTTATAACATATATTTTTATATTACTTTACTTGCTTTGATCAAAATATTAACTTTTTTTGAACTTCTTTTTTGCCCTTTAAATGAAATAGATATGAAAGTTACTGTATAATTTGTTCATAACACACTTATGTTTCACTTTAAAGCAACCTGGCTATGCTTCAACCCGCCAAGCATACAATGTATCTACTGCAATATCACCGGGCCAAAAATATCAACTCTTCACTTTTAAAATAATATGTACTTTGTATTTTTGACAGCCATGTCGAGTGATTGTGCTGCATTGCTGTATATCGAACCATTTGATTGTGTACTGCTGATGGATGGATGAATGAATGAAGCAGGTTTGGTATGATAACTGTCTTGTATTGTTATGATATAACATAAATGACATATATATATATATATATATATATATATATATATATATATATATATATATATATATATATATATATATATATATATATATAGCACATACTGTATAAGGGGATGCTGGGACCATGCACTTTATTTTGTATCTGAATTCTCATGGACAGGCTCGTTTTACACTGCTAACTGTACAATTAATAAACATATACACTTTTTATGCTATGTGCGCTACTTATTGGTTGCACACTTTCATTTGTTAATCATATCAAAATCTCTTTTTTTTTCTTCATAAGTAAAGGCACAGTTTGTGTTTTTGTCCACTAAATGGTGCGTATTCACCACAAACAAAGGTTGTTGTTGTTTTGTTTTGTTTTTTAACTTCCCAGGTTCTGCAGGTTGCCATGTCCCAAATTTTCATTGCCAATCTTAACAGATAAACAGGAATCAGAGAGTGAAATTCAATACCTTTTAAGACTCTTTCCTAGGCCCAGATGGAATCTGTGGACATTTTTTGCTATTTCTGCACAGAAGTTTGGTAAAAGTCTGTGGATTTATGCTGAATTATTTTGGGAGTATCATAACTAAAACCTTAATTTATTAACTAAGAGGTAATACATTTTTAACTTTTATTTATCGTTTACAATACAAATACAATTAGATCCACTTTTTTTTGGTAAAAAAAAAAAAAAAAAGCAAGTCTCTCATGTAATTTATCTACTAAAAGACAGAAATTATTACTTTACAAACTGTGTTGTAAATAAACCATATGAACATTTTCATATTAGTCAATTATAGTACTGAAATTAATTGAAAAACTGAACAAATAGAAATTTACTCACATTTACACTAGTAAATAAACAGTCAATGATGGGGAAAAAAATCTGCGGAATTCTGTGCGTGCAGATCCCGTGTGGGCCTACTCTTTCCATACATTTTAAGACCTTATAACCACTTTTCAACCGGAAACATTGGCAATATTTTACCTTACAGTATATATATTTACTAAATATTAATGTAAGAAACTAATCCAAAACTAAAACGTTATTCATACACTGAATAAAAATCTATTAAATCTAGCTAATTCATCAGGTTGGTGCCTATAGAACTGCAGAAATAATGGTGTTGCCTTGGTAACCGCAGTAAACAAAGCAGCATGATGTCGAATCTAGCAAGATTTCATTAATTTCATAAACCACATCATCCTCATATTTACAGATTTAATTCAGACAAACTAGCGTACACCCATATGTTGCATAATCAAAAATTATATAAAATTAAATACCTTGCAAAATAGCATTTAAGACTTTTTAAGGGCCTTAAATTTCTCTAGATTGATTGATCAACTTTTAATACTTTTTAAGACTCTGTGGACACCCTGCTTAAGCCAACTGTAATCTTTTGTTTTGTTTCCATTTGGAATTTCCCCAACCAATGCAGAGCCCAGGGGATCAGAGTGAGTGCACTGACTTGCCCCCATCCCCATAAACAAAGGTTGTTTTTGGTGTTTTCTCTTTTCTATAAAACCAATCCATTGAGTGTATGTGATATCATTAGCATACGGTTAATGTCACTAGTTACAAATGCTTATTTCTCTGGATTTAAACATTTTTCAACATTTGAGGTAATGCAAGTACATAATATATACAGTAATACTGTTCTAGTGGTTATTAGATGGTTTAATGAAACAAATCTTACATATTGTGCCTTTAGGTTGTGTTACCAGGTAATATGCTCAACATTACTGACCCGTGTTGGCCAGGAAAGATGAATCTTCGACAAGATATCCATTCTAAGAGAAGTG